ATATTTTTGTACCTGTGTATTGTGGTATGATGTGTTAACCTTTCCAGACTACACAGATATTTTCTGGCCCCTCTGCCTGCAGCTGAAGGCTGCTCTGTCCTCCCGAGTTAACTGGACTCTGCTGCTAAATTAACATTTAGAGACCATCCATTGTTGGAGCCTCTAAATAAGATCAGTCTCAGCCTCTCAAAGTTGCTTCAAACTCTGAGGAATCCTATGATTTAAATTTTGAATTGCATCTTACTTTTCATCCATGCAGGTATAGAAGACTTCTAAAAAGAAAAGTGGAACAGTTTACGTAGTCACAGCTCTTCGAGATCTGCCTCTTCAGGAACTTCAAATATCAAGATATGTGAAAGGGCTGAGAGCAATAAGTTGCATTATTCTTTTGTTCTTTAAAGATCTTGGTGAAATCATTAAGTAGTAGTTAGATGAACCAGTCTGATGTCTTCATGCTTTTACACATGGAACATAGTCATTGTGGTGCTTTATTTTATACAGTTTAAAGCACTTGATCAGCTACAGACCTGGATGTGTTTGATAACAGGCGAGTTCCTGAATGCATCTTTGCTTAAACCCAGGGAAATCTCTATAGTGTTTTGAATCTGATTGATGATCTTCCATGCAAATTATATATTTTGAATAATGCTCTCCTATGTGTTTTGGAAAAGATTGAGTTCAGCTGGAACCAGTTGTACAATACTTGCTTGTAAATTCATCGCATTTGTCTTTTATTATGCAATTACATTTTTAAAACATTTACCATTTTCATAATAAGAATTGGGAAGGATTTGGCCATGTGCTGCTGAGAAAAGTTGGAAAATAAACCTCAGGTCTAAAAATCTGCATATTTGGGGAAGTATATTATTATTATTATTATATTATTATTATTGATATCATCTCAGTTACTCAATATATAAATCATTGTTTGTTTCAAACCTTGTTGAGAATGCAAAAGGTAATGGTAGGTACAAACCACTCAAATGTCTACTGGTCCTTGTGAAGGAAGAGGTGAAAGAGAACTAGATGGTTCTAAACAAGTGCATCAGCTTTAAGAAAGCGAGGAAGGTATATCATGAGAACACTGCCATGGTATTATCATGAAGGAGAAAAACTAAAATTTCTTACTGTTTTTCCTATATGAAGATTTGCTGACTAGACACTGTAGCAGACTGCATAAGTATAAAGATGAATTTCTCTCATGTTATTTGGGAGGTTTCCCAGAGGTAAGTTGAATTGATACTTTTGGCTGAAACCACTCTGGAGGATCAAGTTACACCGAAAGCATTTGGAGTTAATTGAACATATTGCACATAATTCAGTTTGTTGTTTCTGAGTCATTTAGAAGTTGTTTTTCCATCTAGCCATCAGTAGTTCTTTGCCATCTCTCTTTCTGTACTTAAAAAGACAGTTTACCTCCAGTTTTCGTTGCCTTACCAAAAAACAGTCACTTAAGTTAATTCTTGGTGTCCATAGTAGAATCACCCTTTCCCCTCATCTCAGGAGTTTTACCATATTTGCTTGAATAATCATTGCAAATTGTTTATTTTTAAGGAAGTCATGTGCCATGTGTATGCTGTCTACATTATTGACATTTAATGGAAAACTGTCATTATTAGCTCTTGGTCAGTGAGTGTTCAGTCACTTGGATCTTCCTCCAGTACAGCTTGGGAGAGAAACTTTGACTGACTTGTGGTTCAGGTTTTCTTAAACAGAATGGATGAGTAAACCCAGAAAAAAAAATCCAGTTGTAGCACATAGTGAATTCTATGTATGTTAAACAGGTTTTTTTAACAAAACTATGTCCACTTTTCCTGGGGCAGAGAGAGAGGAGCCCTGGGCAATATGTTAAATCTCATTTCCATGGTGCTTTACTGCTTGAAGGAATCAGAAACTGAAGGTCAGGGGAAAGAATCTTGACTAACACATTCTGCAAAACCTCAAATAAAAGATCTTAAAGCTTTTCTGCAGGCATTAAGCATTGTTATTTATATGCTGGCCTGTAGGCAGCAGGGGTTTTTTTATGTGCTAGGATATACTAGTACTCCACCAAAGATTATGGCCATAGGCTGTCACAGCAATTTTGTTACAGACTGCTTAGAAATTTTTGTGTAGGGGAAGTTTTATACCTGGTTGTTTACTTTATTTTCATTAGTGTTGATTTTTGAGGCTTCTGAACTGATTTTGTCTCGTTGCATCCTGTATTTTTTTGATGTGTGCTTAATATGCCCCTAATAAAAAAAAAAAATTGGTAAGTATGTTTTATGATTACTTTAAATGATTTTTGCTTTTAATAGAACAGTTTTTTAATAGCTCCAGTTTTAATGTAGTTTACAAGGACAGTTCATAGTTCTTTGGTGAATCCCAGCATGTTGTCTCCTTTGAACATTACATTTTTATGCATAAGTTTGACTCTAATTTTAATTCAGTGCTGAAAGGGAAAGTATGTTGACTGGTATTTCATATTAGTTTACAGAGACTATGCAAAAGTTGTTTGCTGTGTTCCTTTGAGTTTTGGATCACTGTTCTAGCTCTAAGACAACTAATTAAAATTTTGTGTTCAGTCATTTCATTGACCCAAATAACCTTTGTGAAGTTCATGTTTCCTTTTTGCACCTGAGCTTGAAAAAAAAAAAAAAAAGTGGAAAATGTTTAGCTGTGAAACACTTAATTTGAAGGGGATGAATGTATTTGTTGTGCCTGCAAGGTGCTATAAAGCTGATGTGTTTATTGATGTAAAAATGTGCTGGGTTTGTTGAGGTTTTCTTTACTGTTCAAACAATTATATCAGAGTGGCTGAGGTTCTTCTGACAACCACAAGGATAACTGTGATTTTATATGCATATCTGCATTTAAGTTTGGGTGAATTTATCTTCATATTAAGAAAATTAAATGCTTCAATTACATGTGTGGGCTGTAATCAGACAAGGCCAAATAAGATGAAGTCCATTTTCAGCAATGGTAAGTTGTCAGCAACCAATTCTCCATTTTTAAGCGATTTTTAAGCAACGCAACATTTTTTAATTGCTCATGAATCTAATGTAAATAAACTGCATTTCATATTTTGGCTCACTAAATTCTCAGTGTTAGGCATTTAATTCCAAAAAGCTGTTTTCTCCAAAAGTCTTGGTGTATGGGGTAGCATACAGTTGTTTCTTTATGAAGAAAGTTGTCTCATACGGACCATGTGGTAGCCTCAAAAATGTAACTTTCATATGTTTTGCTCATAAATAGTGTAATTAATAATTAATCCTTTTCACTAAAGGAAAGTCACCTGTGGGTTTGTCCCTTACAGCCTCTTGTGACTGTTTCATTCTGATCCTGTCGTGATATTGTAGCAACAAATCAAAATCCTTTTTTATTTCTCTTTTAATGCTGTAGAAGTGGAACCTGAATACTTAATCGTTTTTAAATTGTGTGTATTTGAATAACCTGGGTGTTTGCTGCCTGAAATGAGGATTGAATTTTATGTACTGGTTTCTCAGGTTTTCAGATGAGATTTGTAACCTTCCACTTAATCTTGGTAAGATATCACTACTTCTTCCAGCAAGTTGATGGCACATGGTACCATTTCCCAGCGTATTTAGTGAAATCCAGTGTATTTGTTAGAGATCATTTAAGTGGCTTCTTTGCCCTGTCACAATCTGTTGTATCTTGGAATATCTCCTATCTCCGACTCTTTATGACTGGTGTATAATCAGTTTTTAAGCTGTTGGCTAACGAAGAAAAGCCAAAAGACACTTCTACAGAGGGGAAGCAAAAGTCATTCTGAATTTTAATCATTAATAGTAATGTGCAGCATTCCGGGCAGGTTGGTAATCCTGCTCTGTCTGATACAGTGAGGCTTTTTGACTGATTCCTGAAATTGTAACTTAAGGAACCAGAACAGTTAGGCACAACTTTAATGAAAGTTAGCCAAGAGCTTTAGATATCCATATAGCTCAGAATTCCCAAAAGGAGCCCAAGGCAGCATGTTTATGCTAGGGAAGCATTTTTTCTATCTGTGTGACTTTCCACTCTGTTTTCTTTCCCAGATAACAGATACTGGATGCCCTCCTGAGACCATAGAAAGGCCACTTATCATAGAGGAGACAGGAGTGCTTGTGATCTTTCTTGATGGAACCAAAAAGAATCTCTTAACACATGGCATGTAAGTTGGCTTTATGTTAGGATAGTAAGATGTGCCTTAGTGTTGAGTACTGGCATTTTATTAATCTTGGCTAAACAGTGAAGTTCTGTCAGTTCTTCTGAAGGGTCCCTTAGCAATACAGTTCCAAATAAACATCCTTTAAACTGTAGCTTGTCACTTCAGTGACCTCTCTCTGAGATCACAGGCCAGTAAGTACCACAACAGGACATCAAAGCAGGCTGTGTCACCTTCTGCATTAAGGCTGATAATGACTTGGCCTTTCTTGAGGATAAACTGTGAAGTTTCTTCAAATTAGTTATAAAAGAAACTTGAATGCACAGGACTTCTATTGTTTATAGACCTGCTTGTTACTTAATATGGATTTGATTTCAGCTACTAAGGCAAACTTCTTAAAGTAGAACATAGTTTTTAATATCATAAAATTTATTTTTGTTAGATAAAAGAAATCTGTTGTCTTCTGGGTTCCTTGGAAGGCAGTCTTGATGGGAAAGAAAATGAAAGCACAAGCTGTCTTTAAAATACAGTAACCAAACTGAAGTTTTCCTAGCAAAAGTAGTGGAAGTTACTTGTGGGTGGGAATGTATAATA